GCTTGTACAGCAAAGGCGTAGGACTTGCTCCGCTGATTCGACGAAGTTGTTGCCAGCGTGCACAGCCCTCCTAGAGCTTCATCAGACAGTTGCGGTAGGTTGTTTAAACTGTTTGTCCACATTTCATGGTCAAAAGGCGGAAAACAGCTGCTGCGCTATCGTACACTGCCCGTACGACTCTCTCTCATGCCTCCACCGTGCTTTGATACCGACGACGCTTGCCAACATTAAAATGGCGACGCTCTCAGTGTTGTCAGATCACCAAACAATTTTTCATAAGGTCGATTGAGCCTCTTTGACTGGTTGCCATCTTTTTTTTTTTTTTTTTTTTTGAAACATGGCATATATCGAAAGCTTTTGGTGCAGTGATTCATTCCAGGTTGGATGCAAAAGTAACCGGAATGAATTTCTGAAAGGCGGGCTGTTTGTAGTACCAGCTTCCGCCGCTAGCAGCGCTTTGCAGCACCCTTTCCGAACGAGTTTGCCGACTGGCATTGTCTGCTATAAATACTTTTTCCAAGCATTTCAAAATGTTTTTTTTTTTTTTTTTTTTTTGCAATGTCTGATATGAAAGACAGCATGGGGCTGTGAAATATTGCTTTAGGTAAAACTGTGCCAGAAACTCTTGTAATGCTTCAGAGAGCTTACAAGGAAGATGCTAATGAGAAATTGCAAGTGGTTTTCTTGCTTTAAGACTGGTAATTTTTTGATCGATGACCAACCTCGTTCTGGGCGACCTTTAACCTCCTCAACTGAAGAAGAACACAAACAAATTTGGGCATTGATCACTCCGAGTTTGTTCCTCTTGGTGAATCTGTTAATCAGGTGTTTTACCGGGGAATTTTGCGACACTTGCGAAACTCAGTAAGGCAGAAATGCCCCGATATGAGGGAAAGGGGGAATGATAGTTCCATCACAACAATGCCCCAGCAGACACTGCCCTGGCATGACCCCGCTTCTCAACCTTCCTATTCTCAGGACCTCGCCCCGTGTGACTTTTTCTGTTCACCCGTATGAAAAGTCTTGAAAGGAAAACATTTTATAAATGTGGAAGGTCCTTCAAGTCAGACATTGCAAAAAACAAGGAATGATTTTGAAGCGCTTGGGGAAAAAATTCACAACATGCCGCTAGATCCTTAGCAGACGACGCCGGTCGGCAAACTAACTTGGGAAGGGTGCTGCAAGGGTGGATGCTGGTACTACGAATGCCCGGCCTCCTGAAATTCATTCCGGTTATTTTTGGGTACCCACTCATACTTTTTTTTATTGTTGAAACTTAGGTTCTATGGCCCAGTATCTTGCTTGGTGTAAATCATATCCCTTTTTGTGTTATACATATTTTCAGGTATTTTTTTTTTTTTTTTAGAATGGTGAAGTGACTGTGATGTTGGATATTTTGATGATTTAATATGTTTGTAATGCATACATAACATTGCTTTTTGGTTAAACGTTCCCTGTTTCGATGTAAGTTTTCTGGTTTGTTTCATATTCAAAGGGTTGTTTCTGGCTTTTGAAAGTATCATTACTATAACTATTATAGTTCGATAGTTCGGTGCTGGAAAAAAACTCCTTTTCAGATTTCCATTTCCACAATGTGTCAAAAGTACCTACAAGGTTGTTTTAGGAGTTTTATTTATTTTTTACAGGAAAATATTTTCAATATAAAATTGTATAATCAGGTTTGGGAAATAAAAGAATACAAACAATTGCCACCTGAGCACTTTGTCTTCATTATAGCCACTTTATATATATATACACAGTATAGTTTTTGTTGTAATGCCTTAATGTTTTGAGCTTAACACACTGTTTACATCAAGTGTCCCCATACTTGAAAAGTGCCAACCTTTTGTTGTCAACAGAAAACTGAAAGATTTAAAATAATTTGATATCGGTGTACATGTTCTCCGAATGCACCACACACACACAAAAAGGAAGAAACCTCGGCTATGCTAGTTATTTTTGTTTCCTTTACAGGTACCCCAATCCTTTTTTTTTTTCTTCTTCACATGAGTATAATTTAGGGGATTCTAAAGTGGAGCGAGTAGAGCGACTCATCGGTCACTCGATCAACACGGGAAAGCGTGCCACCAGCGTTTGCTTGCTACAATTGTCATCTATTCTCAAGCACTAAATTTAAGCGCTTGAGAAACTTTTCAATTATTTATAAAAGTAGTTTTTGTTCAGTATTTTAGATCAAAAAAGAAACGAATGCAGTTCATAAAGTACGGAAACCTAGAAATTACCCGTCGACATACCCGCCACCAAGTGGTGGATGAGGCGGCGCATACTAGAAAGGAGTAGTGGGATCAGGTGCCGGGTATATTCTAATATATTTCAGGTATATTCTAATATATTGCTCCAGCTCTTGCAGAGTTCTGTAACTTGTGTCACGGAGCTGCCGTATTTCTGCGCACTGTACACATTTGTTTGCTCCACTAGCATAGTGAGCATATCAGTACTTAGAAACTGGCGGAAAAGGAACAATGGTGAATCTATGGCATCCGGCTCAGAGAATTGGAAAATTCAGCATGACTGTTTTGGAGCAATTCCTTTCGCCATTTGTTGTATGGACGAGAAGACGAAGCTACAGATGATCCGAAGGAATTTTCTACGGTTTCTTCATCATCACTTGTCTCAGAGGGCTCAGCCGCGGCGGGGGGACTAATTTTCGTCACTTTCCGACAGATCACTAAAATCGCTGACAACTTCGCCGGCGACGATGTTGTTCAATATGTTCCTAATTTAGGAACCTAAGATTAGAAGGAAAAAAACAATAAAAAAATGGTTAAAACGTGTACCATTCAAAGCTTTTGGTACAACAATTGCGACCCACTGTATCGAAAATGATACGCAGAAATTTGAAGCAGTGTTACTAAGCGGACGGGACTCAAAAACAACAGCGAACGGAATAATGTGGTTGCGCAACACTTTCTGAGCAAAAAAAAAAAAAAAATAAAAGTGCCGAATATAGGGCAGGACGGCTTACTGTTTTCCGAGTAAAATGCGCCGACGGTATGCCTTCGAGCAAGGAGGATAGAAGGGTAGGAGAGGGCATGACGTCGGCCGCGTAGCCTCCACAAGTTATGCTCCCTTGACGCCTCGCCTCTTTCTCATTTTCCTCCTTACTCTCCTCACTTACCATGCCAACGTGACCACATCACGTGACCGTAGCTAGCCTTCGTCTTGCTATGGAGTACTTGAACCAGAGTGTCGAACCGAAATTTTTATCGGTTCGGTTCCGGTTCGGGTTCACGGCTTTCGGTTCGGTTCCGGTTCAGTTCCGGGGAGCAAAAATAACGGTTCAAACCGGTTCGAACCGGTTTGAACCGCTAAAGTAAGAATATCTTTTTCCGCGTTGTTCTTGCAATGTACACTATTTACGCCGTAAGACGATAAACTATATAGTTTCTTCGATCGTCCGTGCAATTTATTTGTGTTCTTAGGTACCAAAAATATGAAATTCAGTTACTTAATTTCGACGCAAGAGTAGAAGAAAATCTACATTAACCTACATAACGTCGTGTTCATACGCCTCAACATCCCTTTTTTTACATGTCACATATATTTTAACTGAATCCGAATGTTAAAGTACAACAGTAAAGAGTTGAGCTTGTGGGTACATACCTGTAAATAGATCAGCTTGAAATTTAGGATTATACTGTACTTTCCTGTGCTTTTTTTATGTTAAAGTAAGGTTCTAAAGTTCAGGCTGATCTAGTTACACGGTATAAAATGTTATCGCGAAGTGTGGTAGGTCGCGTAAATACCCTTGATTGGTACAACTTTGTGTCGCAGTATTAAAAGTGAAATCGTGATTGTGTGCTTGAACTAAGGAATTAATTGCATCACATAAAATTATGAAATGAACACCTCGTGGCCATATATATCATGAAATATGGTTTACGAAATAGGCTTCACAATATATATGTATATGATGACGACACAACTGAGCTAAAAGCAAGGAAATTTGCAAAACGTCACGGAAGTTTTCAGATAGTTTTTTTTTCAGCCTATTTTTATAGAAACACAGAGTGGCAAATCAAAATGCAAATCAAAATAAAAAAAGAGAAAAGCCAAGTCCAATCAGTTATTAACGTTAAGGACTGATCCTGAGTAGTATTTAGTGATGAATATAAATCGTTTTATAGCTCCTTTAAGCAAAATACAGAAGGGGTCGAAACTTAAGCAATAACTTGAGAACGACACTCATGTGAGACTTACAGCGACTGCCTACGTTCGGCTGTCCCTCAGAGGTCACTAAAATCTTTCCTTTAGGTATTCCTTCCATACACACATGTAGTTCTATGTAACGTCATATTAATAAGTCGCATTTAGTCATTTCAATACTTCTGTTCAATACAAAAAAATGTTTGGGTACCTCAATTATGTAAAATTGGTCGTGCAACATTTGTTTTGTATTTTCAGTAAATACTGTTCAGAAGTAACCCCTGACGTTGATAGCTTGCGAAAACATCCATTAGTTTTCCCCTCCGCCCAATAGCAGATGCAGAAAAAAAAAAAAAAAAAAGGAGACAGCTGTCGATCCCCTCCTCAACTCGCAATTTGAACAAGCAGCCACGTGATCTGACGCGAATTATATACCGTCAGTGTTCATCATAGTCATGCCTTAGGGCAGTGGTTCTCAACCGTTGATGTTTGGGGGCCCCCTTGTAGGTCGGTGGAGATGATGGAGGACCTTGTTCGTAGTCAGGGGAAGGTGAAGGTATAGGTTAAATGTAATAATGATTTAATAAATGAATATAGCTAGGGGCTGTGTGAAGTACACCTCTCTCATTGACGTACACACGAGAAAACTCAACCGAAAATTGGAACTTTTTTCCTCAACGTGAAAAAAAAAGTAAAGCTTTTATTG